TTCTCCTTATTTGGGGGCATGCTTGGAATTTTCCATAATAAAAAGTTCCAAAAGTATACTTTAGTTGTAGGCACTCACCCCTTACAAGTCAGGCTAGGAGTCAAGAAGTTTAGGTTATTACTCAGGAATTAAACATTACGTTCTACTGGTAATTCTCCTATAAATGCCCACTAAGTTTTCATATCCTGGAATCCATTTTTTTTTCTCTCACAGCCCAAAAATCACTGGTGGTTTTTGCCCCTGTTACCCTCTTCTGTAGTAGCTTAATGAGATGCGCAAGGTAAGTGGAACTCCATTTCTGCTTTGGCTGAATGAGAATCATTAAAAGACCATTAGAAGTATCACTCATCTATTAAGTAAAAGGAAACCCTTGTCATTAAATTAAAGGAAAACCACTCTTCATACTGAGGAGTTTTTGGTGTTTAAAATACACTATTTAGGTAGTGAAACAAATTAGAAAAAGTGTTGAAGCAAAAAGGGTTGTACTTTGTTGTAGCCTATTTCTAGAGGAAAAGGGGAGCTCTCTTAGAGTATTTCCAACTTACTTTGTTCTTGGTCACCTAACAGAAAATGGCTTCAGATTAAGGGTTAAAATTTCCTGAATCAAAAGTTAGTCCAATTAATCAATCCAAGTGCGTTTGTAAATGTTGAGGTCAATACTGTAAATATCGATGCAGTAATTTAATTCTTAGAGGCCATTTGGCTTTCATAGCCTTTAAAGCTAAATTTGGCTACTTCCCTCACTCCAGGGTGGCTAATTAACATCCACAATTCCCACAGTGAAGGATGAACATCGTTTTTTCAGATGTCCATCTCCAACCCAGAAGACATCAGCCAGGGTATTAACTTAGGCCCTTTTTAGTTATTCTGTAAGTAATATTTCCAACTTTATTTCTAAAAAGTCTTGGTCAATAAACTACCAGTTTCTCTTACCGCTTTTCTGTGAAATGTCAAACGCTATTAAAATCAAGATTTAGGGACACCTAGCAGAGTTTCTCAAGGTGTATTCTGGGAATACCTGCATCAGAATCAGCTGGTGTTTTAAAATGCAGATTCCTGGGCTCCCTCTCAAGTCAGACTAAATCAGACTCCCCACTGATGGAGCCTGAAATTCTGCACCTTTAGCAAGTGTGCCCCGTAGTTCTTTCACCCACTAAGTCTCACAACCAAGGTTTCTCTCAGTCTTTGAGAAAAATAGAGGATAAAGACACAGGTGAACAGCAGCAGAAGGAAGCAATGAGGCAGCATGTGGAACACACCACAGGACAACTGACCTGATATCTTCAAAAAGTCAAAGTCATGTCCACCAGCTGATAAACAGGTAAGCAAAACTTAGTACATCCAATTAATGGAATATTATTCAGCCATAAAAGGAGTAAAGTCTAGCAGTGCATAGCACTTCTCTTGTTTGTTGGGCCTTGAAAACATTATGCTAAATTTAAAAAGCCAGAAACAAAAGACCGCATCTTGTATAATTCCATTTACATGAAATGTCCAGAATAGGCAAATCCATAAGGACAGAAAGTAAATTAGTGGTTGTCAGAGGATGTGGGGAGGAGGGATGGGAAGTAACTGTTAGTGGGTCAGAGTTTCTTTTTGGAGTGATGGACATGTTCTGGAATTAGATAATGGTGGTGATTGTACAATTCTATGAATACACTAAAAACTACTGAGTTGAACACATTAAAAGGGTGAATTTTATAATATCTGAATTACATTCCCAAAACTGTTATTTAAAAAATTAAAGGCATTGGAACAAAAAAATAGGAGGGCATTTTTTTTTCTAGACTAAAAGGCTCAAAACAAATTCTGAAGACATAACTAAAATAATAAGTAAATCTTGTTTGAATTTTGATTCAAACAAACTGTAAAGGAGACATTTTTAGACAATGAGGGAAGTTGAACATGAACTTGTAATTACTGTTTATTTTCCTAGCAATCATGCTGGCATTGTTGTCAGGTACGATTATGTCTTCTCTTTTGAGATTAATACTGGAATATTGGGGGTGAAATAAGATCTTATCTTCTTTGACAAAGAAGGGAGATAAACAGAACAAGTGTGCAAAATAAATGCTGGTTTTGGTTGATAGTTGTTGATTGGAAGATCAATACACAGGGACTTGTTGAATTCTATCTTTGTGCATATTTAGAAATTTTCATGATAAAAATTTAAGAATGAAGGAACTCAGGGCATCTTGATTATTTTAATTTGTTTTGATTCCAAAAATTTCAGTTGTACCTGCAATGTTAGGTTGAGACTGAGGGGCAAATATTAGAGTCACGTTCTTACATTTTAGATTTTCAGCAGGAAAAGGTCAAGGGGAGAATTGAGAATAATTCCGTTAACTCAGAGAAATTAATGGACAGAACAGAAAGGCATTGAGCTCAGTTACTTGGTCATTTTTAAAAAATAGAAAAGCTATTCACACTCTTTCCTCAAAAGCCACTTTAAGTTCTAAGAGGATGAATTCTTGTTAACCAAATATGCAGTTGATAATTACTCTAAGCAATGAATTAATTTCATATCAAAATCAATTTTTACTTTGAGTCTAGGTGCTAGACTTAACATTTTATTGTAGAGAACTTCCTAAGGTGATACAGTGCTTCAGAACCCAACTTTATAATCTTTGTTAGAGATTTAGTTGTCTTAAAAACCTAATGCTACACACACACACACACACACACACACACACACACTCCCACATACCCAACTTAATACTGAATCTTTGACCAGAGAATTAACCCAAATGACTACGTCTTTCTTACAGGAGCATGCTACCTGTTTTCAATCACTGTTTTCAGTATTACAGAGTGTGGCCTATCTGCTTCATAATCAGATCCAATTTTCTTCTCAAATGTCACTTGGCATGATAACCCTTTTGCCAGCACGTGAAATCACCTTGACTAGGAAGTCCTCTTTGCCTGGGCATCAAAAATCTTGGACATATGAATTACAAACATTCTTTTTAGGTTTTTGATACTGAGGAGGTTGTTTGCAGTGCCCTCTTCATGAAGAATTTCCATCTGGAATCTTTGTATTTCTCTTGAGTATCTCCCTGATTTGTTTCTATTTTCTGATTTTTACTTTTACTGCCAGGCAAATCAGAGCAAATTTTTTGGCTGTATTCCATCAAGGATACAGAGTTTCATGGGTTGTATTTTGTGTACTAGCCTCAGACTTTATCTTATTTTCCCTGCAGTCCAATTTCCTCACTGTGTTTTTCAAATACCATTGTAATGTATTCTTGTAAACTACATTCACACTCTTTTTGGACTAAAATGGGATGTAAACAATGAATAAACAAAAGAATGAACAACAATAAATTAGAAGAAAAATTACAATACAAAAACAAATACAAAAAATATTACAAACAAATACAAGTCATTTTCAAGTTCATGGTTAATTCCATCTCCCTTTTAATATGTACCACTTCTTTCTTTATACATGGATGTCAAGCTCCCACCTGACATTTATCAACTATGAACGAGCTGAGTTTTACCACACAAATGGAATGAAGGGACTAAGAGGGCTTCAGATTTTTTATTAGGATTTTTTTCTGTTGGAAAACAACAAAAAAAGTGAATTTAAAAAAGGCCTGAAGAAGATACTGGGATTAATATTTCTGTGCAAGACAGTAAAAAAAAAAAAAAAAAAAAGAAGAGGAACATGTGATATATAGTCCATCTCAAAGAGGGTGGAGAAAAGCAGTGTCAGACTGTTTCCAGATCACTTCCCAGCAGCTTTTATGTCCAGAGGGCTTAGTGGCTTCTCAGAGAGTGAAGCAACTGGCCATCTTTATGTTCGAGTCTGGATTTTAGGGAGACTTTCTGTGGGGTGACCCATCATATCTAAGTATGTAAAACTAACCTCATTTTATATAGGAGAGATTGCTGAGCATCAGAACTAAGCTTCTCCACCACTGCAACTCCCAGATTTGGCTGAGACCTTCTGCCCACTTCTGGTAACTGGATCCATCGCCTAGCACCCTGTCAGGTCACTGGTGGTCCTGCCTGCTCATACCAAGCTCTTCCTACATCCAGGGTCATGTTGAATCTCAGCTTGGTGACCCAGATGCTGCTCTCTGCTTTATGTTTGGAAGACTCTGAGATGAGAAAGGTGAAGGGACAGCAAACTGGTGTTCTCTCTGCCATCTTAACCCATCTTACTGTAATCTGATGAATATCTGCCAAGTAGTGGCTGGCTGCTAGGATTATTGATAAATTGTATTACATTTCTTCCCACGAGATCATCTTAATCACATCCTTAAACCACAGCCTGCATCAGGTCCTATCATCCCCTGTTTAAAAATGCTTGAACAGCTTTCCATTGTTCTCAGCATAAAATACAAACTCCTCCAGTGCCTCCTGCATGGACTGGCCCCAATCCACTCTCTTTACAGGCCTCTCTGCTCCTACATCCTTAAGTTCCATTTACACTTTGGGGTCCTTAACAGGTCAAGCGTTTTCCCATTTCCTGTTCTTCCTCCAGGCTCTACTACAGGCAGGTCTTTGTGCCTGTAGACCCCCAATCCCCGAGATGCCTACCTCGATCAGCCAATCAAATGTAGGCCATTTGTTTCCCTTTCCACTCCACCCACCTGGGGAGAGCAGTGTACTATAGTGTTTTGAGGGGCTCTGCCTTCAAGCTTTTTGGGTTCGAACCCCAGATCCACCACTTGCTAGCTGCTTTGTGACTTTTGAAAGTTACTCAACATGTCTCACTTTTCCCACCTAAAATGAGGGGATGATATTTTGAGGGTTAAATTTGTTAATAGATGGTAAATTCTTTAAACAATAATACAAGTTCTCATTTTAGCATATACTCCAATTTTGATCCACTTACTTGTTTGCCAAGTTTGAGTCCACCACCTAGCTAAGGTTTATGGTGCCTCCCGCTCCACTTCCGCCGCCTAGCTGATTACAGCCTTAGTGAACATTGTGAATGAATGAACACAGCGCATGTGGAGAGGAGGCTGGTCCTTCCAGATTTAGGAGGGATCATGGGGTGAGCTGTTCAAGCAGACGTGGTCCTGGCCTCTCTTTAAGCTTATAGTTTAGCAGGACACGTTCTAAACTGATATCGTTGTAGGAAGGGAAATCTCTGGGTCCTGGCCCATCCCTGGGGTAACCGCTAGAGCCTTCCAAGGGGAGTTCGGAGGAAGACACCGGATCTCCGAGGGCCAAGGCCTGGGGAGGAGCCAAAACTTCTAGAGCTTCCGGGAAGGATGTTCCGCATAGGCTTGGCTTGTCTTCCCGGCAGGGAAAACCCAGAAGGACCCGGGCGGGCGGAGACTGCGGGCACCAATGGCCGGGCCCGCACCGCCCTCCTCCGGAAACTCCCTGGGGATTGGCTGTCTGCACCCACCTGCCGTCCACTCCTTGTTCCCCGCTCCTGTCCGGAGGCTTCCTGGGGATTGGCTGCCCACCCCGCGGCCCTCCTCCCGCCCCGCCCCGTCTGCCGTGTCTGCGCCGCACGCCAGTCACCGGCCTCAGTTTCGCAGTTGAGCGGTAAGTGAGGGCGGGTGGGACGGGTTGGGCACCCGCCTGGCATACAGGCCTGGATGGGGCTGGGCACGCCCCGTGTCCCCTCAAGCTTTGCCCGCCCGGAGCTCCGCTGCTCCCGGCGGCCAGAACGCAGGGGTAGAGCAGCCCTCGGCGGCCCGGGTGGGGCGGGCGATTGTGCTCGTCCCGGGGCCGCGTGAGGCACACACGCCGCGCGGGTCGTTCGGAGGCTTCCCGGAGGGCAGGACCCGCACAGTAACAAGTTTGTGCTTTGCTTTTTCCCCAGGGCGCAGCCGCCGCTACTTTGTAGCGGGTTCGGGGCCCGACCCCGGCTGCGGCAGTAAGAGCGGATCTCGGACCCACTGTGGGCCTGGGAGTTTGTCTCCGACGTCTGCGGTGCAGCGGCCTGAGTTCTAAGCGCAGGTATGTCCGTCCTTGAGTGACGTGAAATGA